CTGTGTGCGTGTCTATAATAAGAAACAAAAAATGCCATATATAAGAAATAAGGGACACAGTCAAGAATGGATCAATAAGTACAGTGTCAAAAAAATAATAGAAATGAAACAACGTTTGGTTGCAGTGAAAATATGTTAAGGAGGAAATTAGGACCCCAATTTAGGGATGTTTTTAAATGATAGTTGAAAAACAAAAGAACTAAATAACTTTGCTTTTCAACTCCCCATTAGGTAGAATGATTTTTCCTCTTTGGAAAATATGAAAACTAATTAAGAGGAATTAAACACCAAGCTACTTTATGTAAATAAGGAATATTAAGCAATAATAAAAGGTTATCAAAAGAGTTTGTGAATTTAAAAGGTACTGTGAATTGTTGAAGGTCAAATATTTTAAAAATCAGTTAATTTGAGGTACACATTAATCAGAACTCTAGAAAGACTTGCTGTGTAACTCTATATGCACATTTTGTGTGCATATAGAAAATAGAAGTCAGCAAAAGTTTACTAAAAGTAAGTTGTAGCAAAATTGGTATTATTTTTTAAATCTATTAACTACATTGATTACTTATGGCAGCCTGTTGACATGTTTCCTGAAGTTAAGGAGGTGTTTGATAAAAAATTCCAATGATACTTTTGTGAACCAGGTAGCAGTGACTTAAATACCTAGTTCAGTTTGACAATTGTGAGATTGATTTAACCAAGAATCAACAAACTACTATTTGCAGGCCCAAACTGGCCCACTGCTTGCTTTTTTAAATACAGTTTAATTGGAGCAGTGCCATACTTATTTGTTAATGTGCTGTCTGTGGCTGCTTTTGTGCTACATAAGAGCTGAGTAGTTGCCACAGAGATTTTGGCTCAAAAAGCCTAAACTGTTTACTTATGTGGATCTTTACAGAAAACATTTACCAGCCCCCAGGTTAAACCATGGTACGTACCAGGTCAATTTGTGGCCTAATATTAACCTTGATTGTAGTGTGCTTCAGTTAATGCATATAGTACGTTGAGTAACACATGATTGTGTTTTGTTGAGTATTTTAC